TAGATTTCAATAACTATACTAACCTAACTAAGGTACTGAAAATTACAGTATTAATTAAAAGATTGTTTGGTAAACTGAAAAGAACATGTAAAAATGGGACCTTACACTACAGTTGAACTCTTGAAGGCAGAACAAGACTGGATAAAGTATGAAAAAGAACTTGTGTACTCTTCTGAATTAGAATGCCTTAAATGTGGTACCCAAATTCCTAAGCAATCGTCTCTTTATAAGCTAGCCGCATTTGCAAAAAGGTAATGGAATGGTAAAAGCAAAATGGTATTTTGCACGTAAGAAGTAGGCTTGAGAAAAGCAGTTTTGCCAATGATGAAATCCATTCAGTTATATCACCCAAACAGTCGAAATTCACTAAAATTAGTAGGCTTGAGAAAAGCAGTTTTGCCAATGATGAAATCCATTCAGTTATATCACCCAAACAGTCGAAATTCACTAAAATTAGTAGGCTTGAGAAAAGCAGTTTTGCCAATGATGAAATCCATTCAGTTATATCACCCAAACAGTCGAAATTCACTAAGTTATTAATTTTAAGGGAACATAACAAAATTTGCCATGGTGCAGTATCTGCGACGCTTGCTAAAATTAGAAATAGGTTTTGGATTCCAAAGGGTAGACAAGTTGTAAAGAAAGTTTTAAAAAATTGTCTCATTTCCAGCAGATTTTGAAACCTGCTAAAGCAGCAGATTCCAGCAGATTTTGAAACCTGCAGAAAACCTGCTAAAAAGATAACAGCTCAGTTGCCAGAGGATCGAGTATTGGAAAATCCTCCATTTACTGTATCTGGAGTTGATTTTACAGGTCCAGTATTTCTTCGCACAGAAAGGACACTCAACAAAGATCATACATAGGCTTATTCACACGTGGAGTTATTAGAGCACTTCATATCGAATTACCGATATGTCGCCGAAAAGTTTTATTTTGTCCTTAAGATTTTTTTTTTTTTTTTTTTTGGCAAGAAAGAGGAATTGTAAGGTCATCATTTCTGATAATGCTAAGAGTTTTAAGACCAAAGACAACATTTTGAAAGGTTTTTCCCAAATTTTGGTTGATTTTGATTCAAAAATTTTTGTTGCTCTACATAAAATAATGTGGCAGTTTATTGTTCCTCATGCGTCATATGGTGGGGTGGGTTCTATGAGAGACTTATGAGAAGCATAAAGGACACTTTAAGGAAAGTCTTGTCTTAGCTTCGAGGAAATGACAATCATTCTAGCGGAAATCGAATTGGTATTAAATCATAGACCCCTTACTTATGTAAGCAATGAATTAAATGAACCCAAACCTCTTACTCTGGCCCATTTTTTGTTTCCTGGTCAAGAAAATGTTAGCTATCCTATATATTTTGTTGAAATTTTCGGCAGTCAACCTTCTACAAAGAAAACTTTGACTCATCAAAAATTATATCAGATTCAACTTTTACGTCAACTATGGATGAAATGGGAAAGATAATTATTTGATACAATTGAGAAATGCACATAATTTTGCAAATCCATCACCAGGAAAGGATCTTAAAAGAGGAGATGTAGTTTTGCTTGAGGGGGCGTTAAATCAACAAAATTTCTCTGGTCACTGGATATTGTCGAAGAGGTTTTTACTGGTTGTGATGGACACGTACGTTCATATGTTATTCGAATTGACAAGGGACAATGTAAAAGAGCAATCCAGTTAATTTATCCACTTAAAATAACCTGATATTTCTCCTTTAATATTGTCTTATGCATAACAAATGTCATTAAGTACAGTGTACGCTCATGTAGTACTATTATATTATGATAATTGTATTTGTGTTATTAATTTGTATTGTATTTGATCTCTTGTTAATTCTTAAATGTACTCTTAACAGAGTACAGGTGGGGTGTGTTTAATATTTTTGTATTTGTTCTACAATGCTAACACATCGTCTGTGAAAATCATCTGCGAGACTATTTGCGCAGTCATTGTTATTGTTAAAAATAAACAGAAAAATGGTTCTTAAAAGACTGAAGTTGTGTTTAATTGCTTATTCGGACTACATTTTTTATATAATCACAAAAGCTAACCGAATAAATAAAATAACTTCTGATCTACAGTCTAGCTTTTAAAAATATTAAACCTAATTGAAAGTTATACAGTTAAAAGTTACTTAAACTATTACAATACATTAATACAGTGGCCTCAAACTTATGGCTGTGAAACATTTTATGCAGTTTATGAATACATTCCACTTATGTGTTTGTTACAAATATGGTGGCATAAAGATTTCAAGATTTTAATAATTTGAAGCCCATTTCACATTATTACTTCCTAAAAATTTTAGCATCATATTGCAATTAAAATATCCATTTCAACTGCTCTCTAAACCATCTGAACGATGCTTTCGTGTGACATCTGTACGTTTGAACAGAATAAAAGACATTTTTTGCCAAAAAGGATTGTAAAATGGATTCAGAAGAGATTATTTCTTGAAGTATGGATGTATCTCGCATAACTCAAGAATGAGTAGCCATAGAACACTGAAATTTCGCATATGGAAATGCTACAACACGTAATTGTGCACCTCTTTTTTTTCATTGCAATAGGCTGCATCAATCATGCATAAATATGTCCCACTCTGTTACCTGGCTCAGTGAACTTAGTTTTTTTTTAAATTCTTATATGTTGGAAAATTGTGCATTTTTTGCTTTAAAGGTCATTGAATTATATGGTTACATTTTGGTTAAGGTTTTTATGGCTTTTGTTAATCTGTATGCAATAGTTATAGAATTATCAACAATTTAAAAGTTTAAGTAGCGAGTTAGCTTAACAAACCACCATTCGTTTACAGTTAAAACTCAGTAGAATAGTGTCAGTTTCTGCACAATCAATGCCTTTTTGCCGAGTGGACCAAAAGTACAGATTACTGCACCGAAAAATATGTCTTCCTGCCCGCTGACCAAACTGCTTGCTTTTGCTTAATAATGCGTAATAATGTAATTTTAAATGTACAAATTATTTTTTAACTGTTTTAATTATTTGAAGTTTCCTACTTTTCTGTATTTTACAATTTTAAATTAAGATATTTTGAGTTTTCATGTATTTTTGCTTCCCCGTGAAGTGAGAACTGAATTAATTGAATGAGAAATATATATCTTTATAAAATTCGAGGAAAATAAGTTTAAATAAAATGCATAAAAAATGTGTATAACTTAATAGGCCATAAAAGGAAGTCATGTGGTGTTTGCATCAGATTTTTTTCATTACCATTAGAAATGAACATGAATAATGCACCAGAAAATATATAAATTAATTAATTTACACTGTGATATAAATCTTATTTAGTTGACGGTGATAATAATAATATTCCCTACCAGCCATACATTATAAAAACTATGCTTCAGTAACGTACAGATCTGATTTGAAATAAAATTTCTTACATTGCAAGTCTGCAATAATATCAAAATTATTAATTCTGTTTTATTTCCTAAGATTCAATCAAACTTCAATAATCAATTTTTGGAACTCGCATATGTCAATAAGATTTATTTTAGAAATTTTTCATTCATAACAGAATAACAAGATTTCAAACTTTGATTTCTCAATTTTTATATATATCTGATTTATGATTATTTTTGTTATGCTCTTACCACAATAAATTACGTTAAACTTTCAAACTGTTACTTGTGTTGTTTTTTAAATCATGAGATCAGGCAGGGAAAAAACTTGCTTTCTGGTGGCAGCCTAAAGCACACATTACTTTGATAGCTGCAGAGATAAATATTATAACAGTCTGGTTGATAGTAAAAATTTCCTATCATCAATTTTTAAGACACCCCTGTACTTTTCCTTATTAACTTCTGCAATAATGTCTTTAGCAACATATAATTTCATTACATGGGAATTGAAACATTCTCTACATTTCAATAAAAATCTAAAATTTTGAGAAGAGCTGACTTCCTTTTCATCATTCGGTAAATTCAAGAAATTCATGAAGAAAATAATAAACATGTCCAAAGATCAAACAAGTCAAAGCTAATAAAATAATTTTTATCAGATGCTTGATTGAAAGAACATGCTCTAAAGGTCAAAAACAACAGAGAGTAGCAACACAGAGATAAACATTTATTGGCAAGGTTGATATTTTTTGCCACTACCGTAGCTTTTGTTCTGAGGCAAAAGTCAAAAAGTACCTTCAAATTTATAAATTAATCTTTTTTTAATGTATACTAGAAACATGCTATCAATTTACATATTTCTGTTTAATTTATTGATGTATTGATGTAGTATGCAATATATCATTTTTAGTTACTTATTTCTCAGATAATAAAAGACACACTATTTTTAAATATGAAAATAATTAAGAATACTTAAAAACAATTCAATTAATTAGCTTAATAACATACTAAATTGTTAATTTAATTAAATATAAATTGCTTACAATTTTACCCAACAAAAGCAGGCATGATCTTTATAACGGCCATTTTAATGAGTTGTTCAGCTGCATACATTACAAATGCCACGCAGCATTACACTTTTTTTTAACAAGATCTTTGTCATGAGATAACAAAGAAGTATTTGTGGTGGGGTACTCTGTATGTCATGTAGAAACTTTGGTTTCAAAACCTCCAAGCTTGTTCAGTTGTTTGAGCATTAGTACCATCTGCAGGACTGATAAAGTTCTTTTTTAATTGCTTACAATTCATAGGACACCATTGCAAATCAATCGTATGATACAGCAACACCATTTTTTTTTTTTAGACTCTTTTAAATTATATAATTACCGCTTTGAAATAAACTCAACTGAACTGTGAGAGTAGTACCTACAAAAAAAAAAAAAAAAAAAAAAAAATATTAATAAAAATATAATGTAGTCTTTATTTCTGTGTTGTTTTCATACATAGCATTTATAGTAGTGAATTCAATAAACAGAATAATAAGACATTTGAAAGTAACAAATTCTAACTTCCCATATCTGGTTAAACGTTTCTGAAATTTAAATAAATATTTAAGAAATCCTTAAAATTACATACCCCACTGGATCCTCTAGAACCTAACTTAACTGGGCTAAAAGATGGGTGACCATGAGATGACTGCACAAAAGGACTGCTAGAACTAGAAGATGGCTGGAACAGAAATCATGGGAATATCAGTATAAAAATGAAAATGAAAATTTTGTCTAAATTAAAAGTAAATATTATGTAATTTTGAAAGGAATAAAATTAACTGACCGCTTGGTTTGAGGACGAGGAGGAATTAGAATTTGTTCCCTGAGAGCGTGGTCTTTCTGAAAATATAATGAATATACAGAATGTACAGTGAACATATAAAAAGGAAAACAAAATCTACTATAAAAATAAAACTTTATCTACACCACATTACAATAAGCTCTCAATTATCCATGCTAAATAAGTCACAGAATATTGTAACACACGAATAATAATTTTAAAGAAATATAAATATCTAAAATACTTAATACTTAAAAAAAAATTAAATCTACACAGGTCACAACACTACACTTCATTCCAAGCTTCAGTTGCAACCAAAGTAACTACTGATACCATTTCTGACAAGTTCGCCAAGTTAAAAATAATTGTAGTACGGAAATATTTCTGAAAAGTTACAGAAAGTTAAAAATAATTTTCATAGACATTTTCTGAGGTTGCCTTCAGCGCAGCAGCCCAAAGTAGAATAACATATAACCTTATTGGTTTAATTAAGCAAAAGCTATAAAATCCTTTACATCCGAACATTTTAATTTGAATGATCACTGAACCTCAGAGCTATCTTTACCACAGTAATACTGAGAGGTGATAAATGAACACCTTGAACTAATATATATATATAAGTAATATATATAAGTAAGCTAAATATTATGAAATTAAAATAATAAAAATTACTTAATGGGGGAAATTTTAAAACTTGCTTCTGTGATTAAAATTTACTGGCTTCATTCTGGTCTATGGCATAATGAACTGAGCCTTAAAACTAAGTTTGTTACTCATAAATTATAATCCTTTTCATCTTTCTCAGCTTCTGTTAACCACCAAGCAGCATGTGAAAAGCTACTGAATATGTTTATTCACAAAAATGATAATTTTACCACACAGTAGGGATGAAAAGTGATAATTTTACAATAAGCACTCTATTTCAGAATTGATACACATATTAATTTTATTACAAAGAATATAATACCTATACAGTTATTTGCTAATTTCCATATTCTAAAACACTGCAAAGAATTTTTACTCTAAACTTCTCACTCTAATGGCATAACGTAAGATTTTTATTTAAGGATACCCTCATTTGAACCACTATTTTCATTGATCAAACCCAAAATTCATAACAGTCTCCAGTTTAACAATGGGTTTTTTCAATTTAACAACCATGTTTTATAAAAATTAGATATCCTGATCAAGGACATAAAACCTTACACAATATCCAAATCATGGTAAAACCCATACCTTCCTGCATGCACTTTCTAAAACTTCAGCCTCCCCCTCTAAAAACATCTCTTTCTGAGTTTTCATGATAAGTGATACAAAGATTCCAGAACAAAACAAATTTGGTTTGTACAATTTTGCATTCCACTGTTTTATACCACTCTTTGTCCTTTATCCTATTTGTCCTTAACTCATTAACTGCTGGATTTTTTTAAACATTTTTTCATATAAAGGTTATGTGTTTTTGCATGTAAACATAGACCATTAAATTTTACAAAATAAAAAAATACAGTACAAAGTCTTTAATCCGGACCTCAACGCTACAAACTTTCTGCGCATGCGTAAACGCATAATACGTTTACACATGTGTGTTTAATGTATAACGGACAGTATTAGCTAGGCTAAAATTATCTATTTCAGTTAATGGTGCAGATTGCGTTGTTCCTTGGATCCGGCTTATTATTTTTTGCAGACTGTTACAGCAATTTTATAAAATGTAAGCTTGAACTTTCGATTATGTCAAAAAGAGTTTCCGATTCTGGAGCTGCCAAAGGATCTACAAAGCGAAAGCATGTTTCGATGTACCGCTTCCGATAGTGAAGAAAGCAACACAGAGGTTATTGAAAACGAAAAAATTTCGATTGAAAAGTTAGTCGGAATTCTTGAGCTTTTTTTTTTTTTTTTTTGTAAATTTTGACACCCTTTAGATCATAATTGCTCTTTATTTCATAAATTACGGTTTCATATTTTTAATTTTGTAATTTCTGCATGCCATCTTACCAGATTTAAATTGATGATCTATAATCTGGAAAAACCCATAATCCGGAATCACTGAAGTCCCGACGAGTCTGGATTAATGACTTTGTACTGTACATAATTTTTATTAATTTAAAAGTGATTTGCAGATCATGGTAAATGATTGCATAATGTTTTTTTTATCAGTGCCATGGATGATTTCTTCTTATATATTCTGGTATTTGTTTCTGTAAGTTCATATGGTTCTATTTTTAATTTTGTAATTTCTGCATGCCATCTTACCAGATTTAAATTGATGATCTATAATCTGGAAAAACCCATAATCCGGAATCACTGAAGTCCCGACGAGTCCGGATTAATGACTTTGTACTGTACATAATTTTTATTGATTCAAAAGTGATTTGCAGATCATGGTAAATGATTGCATAATGTTTTTTTTTATCAGTGCCATGGATGATTTCTTCTTATATATTCTGGTATTTGTTTCTGTAAGTTCATATGGTTCTATAGTCAGGCATAGAGTGTAAACTTAGAACTTTACTTCTGAAATTTATAAAAATGCAGTATACTATTTGACAATTAACTAGAGCCATATTATGACATAAGTGAAAATAGGAAAGTTCTATCTCTTGCCTCTCATTTGTATTTTATATTTTTGTATATTTGAGTCAAGTTTGTCAACAGCCATGTTCTATTGCTGCTGTTGTCGTCATCATCATATCTCACAAACCTATGAACATTACCATAACAAGGAGTGCAATTTTCGTACCAGTTATTTGGTATCAACCTTGAACACCATACAGGTGACAGCACTTCTTCTGCTCAGTTGTCTTCTACCCCTCTTCCCCACCCACATGACAAGGCTTTGCACTCACCATACATTTAGAATGATGCTATACTGCAAGGACATTATACATTTACAATATTCATATCTTCTCTTTGAGATTCGAACACAGGTCCTTTGGTATGGTAGTCAGAGTCACTAACCACTATCCCATTAGGCAGCCATGTCCTTACTGTAATCTGCAGTGGTGTTAAATTAGGGTGTGAAATTAATGCTTTGTTTTTTCTCAGTTCTAGACCTTCTTTGCATGCATTCGAGAGAAGTACAGGGTGGGGCAAATAAAAAAGGCTCGGAGAACAAAATTCCACATTAAAAAGAAACACAGTAAGGGAAAAGAAATACAGTACTAAACTGACTAATAGCAGATGTTGTAATTGATCACCATTCATCTTTAGCACTTTTGGGGCCTGGTCAGTAAATTGCTGAAGGCAGATAGAAGCTGGACTGCAAGAATTGTTGCAAGCTTGGAATTGTTGCAATTGTTACAATCAGAAATGGTCTGCTGTAGTTCTTGAAGGCTACGAGAGTAAATGCAATACAACTTAGACTTGAGGGTTTACAACTTTGCAATACAACTTAGACACAAAAAATAATCACACACTGACAGATCAGGTGTCCTGTGTGACCAGCTAGAGACAAGACTGATCTCTGCTAACAACTATGTCAGGCGTGAAGATTGTGTGAATATGATCCAAGGTGCGGTCGGCTGTATGGGCAGTTGCTCCATTCTGTTAGAAGTAACTGTAAGTCTTTTACTCTTCAGTTAATGCTGCCACAAACGGATTAAAAATGGTGGAAAGGTAATACTCCGAATTCACCTTCTGATGAAAGAAGATGGGACCAATAATGCAGCATGCAGACAAAGCACACCAAACCCCAACCTTCTGATCATGCAATGTTGTATGGTAGAAGCTATGCAGATCCTTCACTGCCCAGAATCTGTGATTCTGCGAGTTGACATAACCACTCACGTGACATAACTCACTCAGGTGAAACCAGGGTTCATCAAAAATAAAAAATGATCCATGTCCAAGCCATTCATTGTTATCTCAGTGAACTGCCACTCACAAAACTGGAGGCAATGAGCATCTGCTGGTTTTAGTGCATGGACAATGGACATTCTGTTGGGATGTATTTTCAGGTCCAGGCGAAGTATTTGTCTGCATGATTGACGTGATATGTTGGTCTCTTAGGACAGGCATCGGGTTGATGTAGTAGGACTCTTGAAGCATTTTCTGCCAAACTGCAGCCACATTTTCTGGTGTTCGGACACACATGGGAATGTTTTTTGATGTTCAAAACAGATCCTGTCTGATACCATTTTTTGACTAATTGTTGCATGGCACTCTTTGCTGGAACTTTGACACCATTAAACTTATGAGCAAACAACTTAACACACGGTGTCCACTACTTTGTTGTAATGTAAGTTTCCACAATGAATACCCACTCCTGCACTGTGAATATCATCTTCACCTTTACACTGCTCAACTCTGGCACAGCCCGAACTAAGCTCTGAACTGGTTTGGATGTGTGCGTGTCACGTGGTGTGGTTATGCCTACATTTGCACCCAATTGTATCCACTCGTCCGTGCCACATTTATTGACTTTCCTTTGCTGTGTTTTTTTGTAATCTGGTTCTCCGAGCCACTTTTATTTGCCTCACCCTGTAAAACTTTCAAGTGATTTGTAACATCTTAATAATGTTATCTTTCCAAACAAGGCCAAATACTTCATTTCATTCATTATATCCATAATCTAAAGTTCTATGAAATTTTTTCTTAATTTCATTATCTGTTTTTATAGAACATTTAATCATCTCATTATATCTCCACATTCTGATCGCAGGCATACTTCTCTCTTAAATTTTTCATCAAATCAAAACTTACAAAAAAATTATCTAAATAAATGCAAATGTTTTCCTGGTAGTCAGTGTAACAGACATCTGTAACACATATGTATCACTTTCTGAATTATTAGTCAGGTGACATTAATAGATTTCAGCATTATAACAATATCCAGTCACACTGCAATACATTGCCCACTGCTTGACACCAAAGTGAATGCACTTGTCTTTATAAACTGCTTAAGAATAATAATAATAAAAAATTCTAATAAATTCCTCTAATAACGAATAATAATATAATAAATTTCTCCCCCCCCTTTTGGAAATCCTAAAGCATATTGCATCAGAGCAAATTAAATGCCTATCTGTAGAGCAAATAGTAACTCATTTTACATTACAGT